TAAAGAACTAATAATTTTTTCATTTCTCAATATTAAATTAAGATATGAGAAAAATTAAAAAGAAAAGATATAAAGAGAAAGCTCTCTGGAGTTCTCAAAAAATTTTCAGAATGTAATGGGGTTCTGAGACCAAAAAGTTTGAAAAATGCTACAAAAGAAAAAGATAAAAAAGTCAAAAATGAGACCTGGGGTGGTGGCTCAGTGATAAAGTGCTTGCCTAGCATGCGTGAGGCATTGGGTTCAATCTTCAGCACCACATAAAAATAAATAAAGATATTGTATCTATCTATAACTAAAAAAAAATCAAAAAGAAAAGCAGCCTCAAAAAAAGCCCAAAATGATTCTTCAAAAGACTAAAATAGCTGGGCACAATGGCCCAAATCTGCAATCCTAGCAACCTGGGAAACAAGCAGGATCACAAGTTCAAGTCCAGCCTAGGCAACTCAGCAAGACTCTTTCTCAAAGTAAAAACATAAAAAGGACTGGCAAAGTAGCTCAGTGGTTATGCACCATTGGCTTCAATCACTAGTACCAAAAAGAAAAGAAAAAAGAATATATATGTATGGGTATATATAAGCTATCCTATAATCAATCATTAAAGAATAAGTACACAGAAGTTTTCTCACAAAGAAAACTCTAGAATGACATGGCTTTTCTAAAATAATATAATGATCATTTTAAAAATAAATGGCAGTCATATTTTGCACATTCTTCCAGAAAAAAAAAAGTGGGAAAATTCTCTAGCTCATTTTATGACACCACATAATCTCAAATAAAAATAAAAAAGACAACGGCATTATAAGAAAAGAAAATTTACACTCATCAACAAAGATGCAAAAATCCTGATCAAAATTTAATAAATTAAGTGCAGCAAAATTTTTGCGTGCGTGTGTGTGTCTTCTTACATGTACTTATTAGGGAAATGATGTCCATCTCATTCCATGGTCTTTCCTACCCCCATACCCCCTCCCTTCTTCTCCCTCCGCTTTGCCCTATCTAAAGTTCATCTATTCCTCCCATGCTCCCAACCCCATCCCCATTATGAATCAGCATCCTTATATCAGAGAAAACTTCAGCATTTGGTTTTTTGTGGATTAGCTTACTTCACTTAGCATTATATTCTCCAACTCCATCCATTTACCTGCAAACACCATAATTTTATTCTCTTTTAATGCAGAGTAATATTCTATTGTGAATATATACCACATTTTCTTTATCCATTCATTTACTGAAGGGCATCTAGGTTCGTTCCACAATTTAGCTATTGTGAATTGTGCTAGTGCAGCAATTTTTTTAAATTGTGACCAAGTATGTCATGAACAAGGAAGTTAATTATAAGAATGAGAGACTAAAAATTTAAAAATCAATCAGTGTAATTTATCACATTAACAGTTTAAAGAAGAAAAAGCTTTTGATCATTTCATTAAATGCAATAAAATTACTTTATAAAGTTTTAAATCCATTCAAGGTATCAATTCTTACTTGGCCCGCCAGAAACAGAGGGAACTCCTTTATTCTGATAAAAGGTATCTATACAATACTACAACAAACATCATACTTATTTTTTTTATATTTCATTCTATCTTTCTTTTTTCTTAATTAATTTTTTTATTTATTTATGACAGCAGAATGCATTACAATTCTTATTACACATATAGGGCACAATTTTTCATATCTTTGGTTGTATACAAAGTACATTCACAGTAATTCATGTCTTCATACATGTACTTTGGATAATAATATCAATCACAAAGAGGGGTGGAAGGGGAAGGGAAGGGGCTTGGAGTTAGAAATGATGGTGGAATGTGATGAACATTATTAAACATCATAATTATAATAGTCAAACAGTGAAAACTTTCCCTTTGAGATCAGGAACAAGACAAGGATGTTCTCTAGTACCACTTCTATTCAGGAATGTACTGGAGATCCTAGCCAGAGAAGTAAGGCAAGAGAAAGAAATAAAAGGTGTAAGAATTGGCAAAAAAATTTTTCTTTTCTATTCACAAATGATGATTGTGAATATAGAAAACAAAGTCATCTACAGAAAAACTGTTAGAAATAAAAATGAACAAGATTCTGAGATTCCAAATCAATTGCATTTCCATGTAAATAGCAACTGTAGTTAGAAAATAAAACTTAAAAATCAAGAACTCCAAAAATATAAAATACCTAGCAATAAGTCCAATAAGAGATATTCAAAGCCTGAAAGAAAATCATAAAACTTCCTTGACAGACTTGAAAGAAGTAAATAAATGAAAATATGTGCAATACTCATGATTTGGAAAACGTAATTTTATAAAGATCAATTCTTCACAAATTAATTTAAAGTCAAGGTGATATCAATGAAAATCCCAATATAAGTATGTATGTATGTATGTATGTAACATGACATGATGATACTTAAGGATATATAGAAATGCAAATGACTAACAGCCAGGACACTTATTTTTTGAGGAAAAGAAAAAAAGAGTACGAACTTGTTTAATAAACATCAAATGTGACAAGATAATGTAGAATTTATGAAAATAGACCAATGGAACAGAACAGACATCAGACACAGAACAACAAATGTACAGACACTTGATATATGTCAGAAGTGGCATCAGAAAACAGAGAAAAAATGTTTTAGTTTTCCACTAATTAACACTGGTACAGAGAGCTACTCATATGTAAACAAATGAAAATAAACTTATTCCTCCTCGTAATCACAAAACTAAATTTTACTTGGTTGATAATGAAGTTTATGACAAAAGTCACACAAAGAACTATTTCAAGTTCAAAACAAAATTAATTGATTAAATAACACAATATGATCTATCTTATGGACAAATATCTTACTGTTACTAGTAATCTTGGTATCATTATATTTAAAATATTCCTTATATAAAGGAGTACAAAGCAAATAAGGAACTATAGTAATGTCATTAAGGAACATAGATTTTTAGATTAAGAGAGAAGATAGAAATACATAAACTCAAAACTAAATAAAAATCTTTTCCTAAAGTAGAGCTATCACTAAGATCTCAATATTTAATTAATAAAGAGTGCTCCAAGCATTCAAATTTTGATCTCTAAATACCAGTTGTCATTAGAAAAATAAAAAAACTTCTTGAAAACACTATTGATTCCAGGCCTAAGACATAAAATAAATCACTCTGATCTCTCAAATCACAAAATCAAAGAAGCTATAAAATAATACCAGAGTCACAACAGAAGCACATAGGAGCCAAATGAAGAGGCTTCCCCTGATCAAAGAAAGATAATTTGAGTATCATAACGAATAACTACACTGGGCATGGTAGCACATCCCTAGTAACTCTAAAGGCAGAAGCAGAAGGAGTACAACTTTGAGGCTAGCCTCAGCAACTTAGCAAGACCTTATCTAAAAACAAAAAATAAAAAGGACTGTGGATGTAACTCAGTGAGAAAACACCCCTGGGTTCAATCTCTAGCACCAAAAGAAAAATTAAAAAATAAAAACAATGATTGCAATGAATTTAAATATTAAAAATATAAAAATTGAAGCTGAATACAGTATTGTTCACCTATAGTACCAGCATGAAGGAGGATAAGGCTTGAGCTCAGGAGTTCAAGACCAGCCTGGACAAAATAACCTAATAAAAACACTGAGGATGGCAGCACATGCCTGTAAACCCAGCAACTCTGGGAGGCTGAGGCACTCAAGTTCAAGGTCAGCCTGGGTAACTTAGTGAGAAAATAAAAAATAAAAAGGAATAGACATATAGCTCAGTGGTAAAGCACCTTGGGTTCAATAAACCCAGTATAATAGATCAATTTTTTTTTAATTCTCAAATTAAAATCTGTAAATTCAAATAAATGTAAAAACAAAACCACTGGTCATACTGGCTGGTTGTAAGGACCAACTGGTTATTCTGAAAACTCATAAAGGGATAGCATTAAGCCTTTATCCTGACTCTCCTAATGTTTTTTTTTTTTTTTTTAATTTCAGAATAACCAAGAATTCAATAAAAGGAAGTTTTTATTTTACTAACTGTAAGAGAATTGTAAAATAGAAATCTGCCATTTTGTGATCCCAAAATGAAATATAGGACCCTCAATAAACATAAATGACTACTAAAACAATTCGGTGAAAGGTAGATAGTAAGCTTCAAAATGGACTGATCAGATTGCCATTACCAATTCTCACTGATCAATTTTAACACTGCTAAAAATATCATCAAACATGTTCTTCCTGATGTGATACCCTAAGAAGTACATAGTACCTACCACCAACCAAAAACCAAACTTATCTATAATTATGCCTCTCTACCCAATTATCAATTTATATGAAATAAGAGATTGAGGAAACATGGACAATGATCAGGAGGATACAATCCAGAATGTGATAAAATTTATATGGTAGATGACTCAATTTCTCTAATAAATGCAAATTTAAAAGGACAAACTGATACATTGAAAGAAACTTAATACATATACCAACCAATGCAATCCATAGACCTTGTTTATATTCTGAAGCAACTGAACTTTAAAACTTTTAGACATTATGGGATAACTGATGGAAAAATGCAAACAGATTGGTTATCACAAGATGTTAAGAAATTATAGTTAACTTTATTGGGTAGGATAATGGTCTTATCTACCAGAAATGTATACTGAAACATTTATTAGTGAAATTATAGGATGTCTGGTATTTGCTGTGAAATATTCCAGATACATTAGCAAATTACTTGTGTAATTAAAATTAAAAAGATAAACACATAGGTAGGTGGGCAAGTAGGTGGGTGCATGGGTGAGTAGATACAACTTTCTGAGGATAAGAACTGATTCTAGATAGATTAATTCAAATTAAATGAGAGCAAAATAATAAAGCTTTTAGATAATATTGTGTACTTTCAAGTTCTCAAAATAATTCAAGGTTTACTAAACAAAACTCAAAAATCACTAAACAAAAATGTGTTATACCGTAACTATAAAGACTATAAAGACTATCTACTTCACACTATTTTAAAGGTACTTACTGCTGGTAAAAGAGACTGCATATTTTGATTAGAATCTGCTATTGTAGCAAGGTATACCAAGTTTGTATGCAACATCTGCTGATACCTATTAAAACAAAACAAATATCAGTATTAAAAAAACTATTCCTATATGCTTAAATATAAACATTCCAATCATTTCTATAGAAGATTTGTTAGCTTAACATCAATAACACTTCAATTTTTCCTACTTCCTCTGCAAAATAATTCCAAGTAATAATATATTTTGCCGCAGTCTGGCTGGGCACAAATAACCGAGCCGCCACAAAGCCTTGTAGATTCAAACAGCAACTCTTTATTCTCCAACTCTCACCGGCACTGCATGCACCACAGGGGAAACACACTCCCTCCACCCCCAGGAGAACTGCAAGGGAACTCCAAAGTAGCGGGCGCCAGAGGCAATTCAATCAATCCAGCATCATCACAGCAATTATATATAGCTTAACTCAAATCATCATCTCAATGGTTCGCTGGCGTCACCTTTCAACCATTCCCTCTGGCAAATGCCAAGTGTCATTCTGACTGGGCTGCGGCTCTCAACAATATTTAAGGTAAAAATTCCACCACATATTAACTAAGAATTAAAATAATGAAAATAAGTCAAAAGTTTTATCAGATTAAAGTATATGAGTTCAGGTCCAAAATGAAATTATTTCCTAAAAAAAGACCTTAAAAGAAACCATAGTAAATTGTTTGGTACATATTTTTTTCCTGTTAGAAACAACTGGCTTCACAACTTTTGTTTATTAAGGGGAAAAAGCTTAATTCTCACTAACCTTAGTTTACTAACAAGTCTATACATTTAATGCTGTTCCTCAACATGTACCTAGTCAGACATGATTTATTTTTTAATGAATCTTAAACCAGGACCAAAAAAAGTTATTACATTGTACTGAATTACTCAGATGATTAGTTTTGTTTTTCAAATTGTACTAACAGCAACAAGTAATTGGAATTTAAGATACAGGATTCTAAGGGTTGAAGATGTATCTCAGTGGTAGAGAGTTTGCCTAGCAGAAAAAAGGGCCTTTTGTTCTACCCCCAGCACCAGAAAAAGATTTTAAAAAATATAAATTTTAAAAAGATACAGAATTCTTTAAAAACCAACCTGTCATTTTTTTTCCCCACATTTTTTATTGGTGCATTATACTTGTACATACTGATAGTTCTGTTGTTATATATTCATACACTTATACAACATACAACAATATAATCTGGCCAGTATCACTCCCCAGTACTTTCCCACTCCCTCCCCACTCCAACCCCTTGGTCCATTTCCTCTTCTAATCCCCTTTTTACATATTTATTTTTTAGTTGTAGTTGGACACAATACCTTTATTTTATTTATTTTTATGTGGTGCTGAGGATAGAACCCAGGGCTTCGCACACGCTAGGCAAGCACTCTACCACTGAGCCACAACCCCAGCCCCCAAAATAGTTTTTTTTATTTAAAAAAAAAAAAAAAAATAGTGCTTCAGGCAAAGTTATCACATCTGAAGGAAGTATTTAATTAAAATTAGCCTATTAATTCTTTTTTTTTTAGTTTTCGGCGGACACAACATCTTTGTTTGTATGTGGTGCTGAGGATCGAACCCGGGCCACACGCATGCCAGGCGAGCGCGCTACCACTTGAGCCACATCCCCAGCCCCTATTAATTCTTAAATAGTTGTAATTTTTAACACATCTCATACTTTCCTTTTTCTTTTTCTAATTATGAAAATTGAGAATATATTTTAAAGTTGGTAAGAGGAAATTTTTTCTTTTTACTCACAAACCAACCCTGACAACTTAAATAAGAATATCTAAAGAACATAAGAATAAAATTAAATCCATCAAGGATGGGTTGAAGCAGGATGCAGTGGTGCACACCTATAATCCCAGGGACTTTGTTTCAGGCCAGGCTTAGCAACTTAGTACAGTACTAAGCAATTTAGCGAGACCCTGTCTCAAAATAAAAAAGGATTGAGGATGTAGGTCAGTGGTAAAGCCCGCCTCAACTTAATTTCTAATACAAAAAATTAAATTAAATTACAAACTAGGTTTGGTAGCCCATGCCCATTTCCCAGCTACTAAGGCAAATGAAACAGAAAACTAAGCCCAAGAATTCAGGCTCACCCTATGCAACACAAGGAGTCCCTGGTTCTGAAAAAGAAAGTTGTGAAATTCATCAAAGGGCAGAATTTAAGATTCTAGCCTAAATCAATTTAAGCCCCATTTGCATCAAGCATATGTGAAAATGAGGTCTATTTCAATATACAGAGAACAAAGGAAATGATCATATGCTCCTGCAAAAGTTGAAAATATACAAAATAATACAGTATAAATTTTTGCTGACTTGAGTTAAAAAAGTTAATTCTCACTCTGAACATCTACTACTCATGACATGTGCTGCTGGGTCCAATAAGAAACTAAATCTGGTGATCTGATGCTTTGACACAGGCCTATAAATCCAGTGAGTTGGAGGCTGAGGCAGGAGAATCACAAATTCAAGGTTAGTATCAGCACTTAGCAAGGCCCTTAGCAATTTAGTGAGACCCAGTCTTAAAATAAGTAAATGAATTAAAAGGGGTGGAGATGTGGTTAAATGGCCCTGGATTCAATTCCCAATACAAAAAAAAAAAAAAGAAAAGAAAGAAATTAAATTGTCCTATGCCATAAAATCCATTGGCCATATTTTGGGTTCTTTAAAGCCAAAGGTAAAAATAATTATTCTAATCAAGGCCTCCCAAGTTGAATCAATCCATATAAAATGCAAAATGGACAACTGATTAGAAAATTTAAAAATCTAATACTCAGATCTTGGTTTCTAAATATCATCCTACAAAAAAGAACTAGGCTTAGAGAAATTGGTGATTCCAGACTTCTACAGGAAAAAGGATGGGATAAAACTAGAACATTTTGTGGTACAACAAAATAAGAAAATTCTCAAAAAATAATGGAGAAATGTCAAGAATACAGAGGGGCTCCCAGTGGCTGAATCTGGAACAGTTAAAAGAATAGTATTATTAATGTAATAAATTACAACCTAGAGAAAACAACAAAAATGTGCAAGTCCTTTCAGATATAAATAAAGGAATGAATTGGGGGAGAGAAGGGAAAATATCTTTCTCAAGTAGGATTCCAAAAAATACAGAAGGAATGATGGGTCTAGTTAGCATTTGACAATGACTATAATAATAACTACAACAGGAAAAAAATCACTGGGAGATGCTAAAATTAATGTGTAAAAGTAGGATCAGAGCATATGTGTCTCAAAGTATTTTCCCATCAAGATACATATAAATTACAAAGGAAAAAAACAATAACTTTATGGTAGAGAAAATAGTAGCCACCACCTTAAGTCAAAGTTATCACCAATATTGGGACAAACTAAGAATGGACTGAGAAGGACAGAATATTGTGTCTGTGGTACTACTGGCAAAGTACATAGTGTGAGTTTAATCCTGAAGAAACAGCAGTCAAATCCTAAAAGAAATACAGTCCACAAAATAACTGGTCTGTATTCTTCAACATCAATTTCAAGAGAGAAAGGAATAATTCTAGATTAAAGTATAATGACAAGACAAAGGAACAGTTCCAAATTAAAGTATTAAGATAAGACATGCAAACTAAATGCAACATCTGATCCTGCATTGGACCCTGGACCAAGAAAAAAAAACACTAATGGGACAACTGGCAAAATCTGAAAAGGTGATAAAGACTGAATAATAGTAGAGATCTCTTTTCAGAGTGATGAAAAAATGTTTATAAAATAAGGCAGTGGTGATGGTGGTACAACCTATGAATATACTGAAAGCCACCGAATTGTATACTCTGAAAACTTGCATGTTAAAGGATGTAAAACATATTTCAATAAAGCTCTCAGGTATATGTTTAAAAAAAGACTGAATAATAGTATTATATTCTTGATTTTGACAATTACATTCTGGCAATTTAAAAATACATTTTTGTTTTTAGGAAACACTGAGATTACTCAAAGTAAGAAGAGAGACTCACATCTATACTTATTCTCAAATGTTCCAGAAAAAAACACTATGATAAAAAAATGAAAGAGCAAATAGGCCAATGTTATCATTTGAGGAATTTCAGTGAATATCACACAGAAATTTCTTGTGGTTTTTTCTTTTTTTGTACCAAGGATTAAATCACTGAGCCACATCCCCAGCCCTTTTACTTTTTTATTTTGAGACAAGGTCTCACTAATTTGTTTAGGGCCTTGCTAAGTTGTTGAGGCTGGCTTTGAACCTGTAATCCTCCTGCCTCAGCCTTGCTAGCTGCTAAGATTACAGGCATGCACCATACCTTCCCGCACCCCCACCCCACCACCCCTGTGCTATCTTTGAACCTTCATTAAGCGTGAAAATTATTTCAAAATAATGTTTTATTTAAAAAGACACCACTTTTCACCAATCACATGTACAAAAATATTTAAAAGATGGCTAATACTCACTGCAGGCAGGTATGGTTTAAAACCAGGACTCTGAAAACCTGATTAGGGAAAGCAAACCAATACCATCTCTTTGTGGGTAATCTGGCAATTTAGCATGGTCTTTGACCCAGTAATTCCATTAAAAAAACTGTAACCTACAGCTAGGGATGCAGGTCAGGGTACAGCACTTGCCTAGCAGGTACAAGGTCCTGGGTTTAAGCCACAGCACCACAAAAAATAAAACTATCACCTACAAAAATATTTGAACAACAATATTGGGCTGGGGATGTGGCTCAAGCGGTACCGCGCTCGCCTGGCATGTGTGCGGCCCGGGTTCGATCCTCAGCACCACATACAAACAAAGATGTTGTATCCGCTGAAAATTAAAAAATAAATATTAAAAAAAAAACAATATTTATCCGTGTATGTTTACATAGATATGAATGCAACATGTAAATGTACAGCAAAGTTTTTGGAAGGATACATACTAAAGCATTAAAAATAGTCAATTGTGGAAGGGAGGGAAATAAGGCTGGGAATAAAAAGATTACTTATGTTCTCTGTTTTTATACTTTGATTTTTTAATTTTTTAAAAATTTTTTACAATAGCAGGGATTGAACCTACAGCCTTGCACATGCTAAACAAGTATTCTACCATAAAGCTATCCTCCTAACCCCCAGGCCTTTCACTTTATTTCAAGATAGAGTCTAATTACGTCAGCCTTGAACTTGTGATCCTCCCGCCTCTGCCTCTACCTGTAGAGTAGTTGGGATTAGAGGTGTGCACCATCAAATCTGGATGATTTTGTTTTTACAAAAACAAAATACAACTTTTTGATTTCAAAATAGTTCTACACAAAGAAGAAAAAGTAACAAAGACCTGAAATTAATATGTAGTGAATCAAACGACAACCAAGAGACCAGCACAAAAGGAAAAGCAAGCCAGCCAGAGGTTGCTGGGAATGTCTGCCTGGGAATAGACTAGTAAGATTACTAAGAAAGACAGATGTGCCCCACAAAATGGTCTCAATAAGATATCCAAAAGCTGTGTTGTCCAATACAGCAGTACTAGACAAAATGAAATGTGGCTAATACAAAATGAGATGTGTCATTACAGTAATATACACAATGGATTTTCAATACTTAGTATGAATAAAACAATATAAAATATCTCATTAATACTTTTTATGCTGATTACATAATGAAATTACATTTTGGAAATAATGAGTTTAAATATATTATTAATATTCATTTCACCTTTTTCTTTTTATTTATATACTGCATCCACAAGAATATTTTATATCACATATGTGGCCTACATTTAAATATCTACTAGACAATGCTACTCCAGAGATGTTTGATAAAATATTCAACTTATTCTATCATCAGTTTCAATTAGGATACACCATTTACTTCAGATATCATTTCAAATTTAAAAAGTGTGGTTCTCATAAACAGTAACCAATTATTTATTAAACATAGGCTTTGCTTTCTCATCTATATCACAGAAGCAAATAAACATACTACATAGATCAATATCTAACTTTTCCATAGATCGATCAATACACAGATATGAATTCATTATTTATAAAACAGGGTAAGAAGTGTAAAAAAAAATTGATACCCACCTCCCTCACAAAGAAAGTTTTCTTTTGTAAAATACCAAGAAAGACATGGAAACTTGTACACCGAGGTTCATAGCAGTATTATAAACCACCCAAATGTCTATCACTGACAAATAACGTACAGTGGAAAAACATTTGGCAATAAAAATGAAGTTCTGATATGTGCTTCAACATGGATGAACCTTGAAAACATTTTACCATGTGAAAAAACTCAGTCAGAACACACTACATATTGTCTGGATCCAATAGGCAAATCTAAAATCTATAAAAATAGCAAGTAGATCTGGAGTTCAAAGATTAGAGAGGAGGATGGGAAATGACTGCCACAGGGCATAAGAATTCTTTCTGGGATGATGAAAACTTTCTAAAATTGACTGCATAACTCTACAAAATATTTTAAAAACACTGAACTTTACACTTTAAAATAGTTATAATTCAACCTGTTTTAAATGAAAAAGTAAAAAAAAAAAATACACACACAGAAAAATGAATACAAAAAATGTTTCTTATCAATCTTACTGAGAACACTCTGAAGTCTTTCCTTTATTCTGATAGTCCATTATACACTGAATAAGATGGTTATTTTCATCCAACATCTGAAATAAAATTAGAAAAAGTTTATTGTAAAGTCTGTCAAGTAAAATAAAAAACTAGAAAATTTGAGGGAGGGCATTAATAAATACTGCTTATAAAAGAACATTAAAGTGCACCCCCTAACAATATATTGCTACCCAGAAACGACTATTATATATTCTAAAATCATTTAAGCAAACATGAAAACACAAAAAACATAATTCTCTTAAAAATACTTTGTTAATGTTGCTACCTGCTGCTATATTTTAAAATTCATTTTAATAACAAATTATAAAGGGGATTAGTGAATCAGCTTACATAAAATTTCATTACACACTAAAGAAATCTCTTTCATAAAAGTATGCAATACCCAGTTCATATGGACAATGTATTAAACAAGTGATATTTCTTCCTTCAGATTTCTAGAAATACTTTATTTATTTAGAAACTGAATTCATTTAGGTCTTTTCCTACACCTACTATGGTTTACCACAAAAAAACTATTTTATACCTTTGGAATGATATCATACTTAATCAATAATTTTAAATATCCCTATTCTAAGTATTCTCCCTCTGTATTATTAACTGAAGCCCCCAGAAAGGAAAATTTAGGTTTCTTTTATATTCAAACATTTAATTACCTCTGCTATCTGTAAAAGTAGTTTTAGCGAGTTAGGACTAAAATTTAAGAGTCCAAGTTGGCTTTGCATCATTCTACAGCTTTGTAATAGTAAGGAGAAAGTCTGTCCTTATTATACAGAATTAAGTAAATACGTGAAAATTTCAGTTCAAGAGGCTTGATGAGGTAGTGGCTAGCTTCCAAGTTCTATACCAGTATGATTTTATGATTCTCCAAATATGTATAATAAAGTACAAAGATTTCTATACATGTATATTAATACACACCTGTGAGATTACCAGATATATGTTGTCTCAAAACTTTTTTAAAAATAGCAATTTATTCTTCTTGTAACAATTCTAAGCCATCTTGGCTTTGAAAGTTAAATAAGTCACACTCTTTGAAAGAGTACTAATTATGGCAATTAAAGGTCAGTTAGTTTTAGTGCCAACTTTGCTATCCTGAACAAACCACTTAAGTTTCCAGGAGCTTTGAGATCAAGGAACAAGAGACGTTCCTTATACACCTGTCCCAGTCTTCCAGAATTCAATGAAAGAACAATGCTACAATCGCTATCTAAATAACTTACATTTTTTTTTTCATTAAAAAAGACCCATTTAACATTACATGTGCTGGGCACAATGGTACATGCCTGTACTCCCAGCGGCTCAAGAGGCTGAGGCAGGAGGAATGACAGTTCAAAGCCAGCCTCAGCAATTTACCAAAGCCCTAACTAATTCAAGGAGACCCTGTCTCTAAATAAATATGAAAAAGGTGCTGTGGCTCAGTGGTTAAACACCCCTGGGTTTAATCCCTGGTACCAAAATAAATAAATAACATTAGCTGTGACTTTTTTCCTGTATCTTCATCATAATCTTCCCTTGCTGAGGGGGAAAAAACTGTCTAACAAGATTGTAATAAATACAATTCCTGGATGCCAAAAAAAAACTTGCACTTAATGTCTCAACATCCTAATCCAAACTCCAGTTTAGTGAATTCACAACGTATCTTCTCCAGTATATTCGTCAATCTAACAAACTTGACATTAAAATATGTCTCATATATAATATCAATTCGACATTAAAGATGAAGCACTGAGTTTGGAATTCATTTTTCTCCTCTCATGTCACGATAATCAGCATCCTCTAAATTAATTATCCATGATAAACAGCCTGAGACTTACATAAGAAAAACTTTGTAGGAACAAAGAAAAATTCCAGAGTTTTTTAGAGTCCAAAAATAAGACAGAACTCCTCCAGAAACATGTTTTGTGTGCATGTGTACTTGACGCCGTTTGCCAGGCTGCAGGCTTAGTCCAGCGCACTACACGAAAACACTGCTTTTCCAGGCACTAACAAGCCGGTTTGTTCATGAGATAAAGCAACAGTTGGGCAAATGTCAAATGCCACACCACAAAGAATCTGACAGTAAACAGAAACCGATTAACATATTCTACGGGCACACAATGGTTCCCTGAGTGGCATTAAAAGTTGACTTTTCTTCTGTTTTCATCCTTGCTCCAGTGCAGAAAAGAAAATGGAAATATTTCATATAAACTGCTAAAATTAGCAAGTAACTTTTCCAAGTTCAGCCCACTACAATTTACAAAGCTGCCTTGCTCCGTAGGCAACAACAGGGAGGAGGATAATACAGAATCTTTGTGTCCCCAACTGGCAGTAATACCGCAGCGACTGCGGTAGCTTTTCTGAGGAGGACGCAGCCCCTTGTGTTTTTATCACGACTTATGTAATTGGTCAGGAGTGTCTCCACCACCGGATTGCAAGCTCCAGGAGAGCGGGGTTCACTGCTCACCACAGTAACCCCAAAGCTTGCAACAGGCACTCCAGAAATATTTGCTGCAGATATAAATGTACAAGGGGTGATCCAGAAGGCAGAAAGGGGCCCTAGGATGACCCCCAAAGGCCATGGAGTTCTTCCTCGTCTGCCCGCAAAGACTCTATTAAGGTTCTCAAGTTCTCCAGAGAGATCCCCAACTCCGCGGGAGTTTACAGGGTTCCGACTCGCCCTCCGCGCGGGGCGACCTGAGGTCGGGTCCGCACCAGGCAGCCGCGGCGCGCGGGGCGGGGCGGAGCAACGCCAAAGTAACTCTGAGCAACGCGCGGGGCCGCAGGCTCCAACACACTGCCCTTCCCCGCGCGGGCGCACGCGCCCCGCCGTCCAAACGCCGCCCCATCCCTAGAGAAATCGGGCGACGGTTGCGTGGGCTTTTGTGCCTCTAAGAGCCTAAACGCGCGGAAGACTCCGTGAAAGAAAAAAACCGGTTCGCCCTCTTCAGCCTCCCACTCAGGCACAGCCCGCGGCTTGGGTTCCCATAGACTGCCGCTTCCCAGCAGGCCCGCCTCCGCCTCCCCCTCCGCCCCCGGCCGGGCCGATTCCCGCCCGGCCCTGCCCTCGGGGTCTCTCGCAAAGACGGGATGAGCCTGGCATCCCCAGCCCCGCGAGCTTTCACCTTCTGGATCGCGGCGGGTGTGATCTCCCCCTTGCCTCGCTGACGCGGGGCTGCGAACGCCACAGACATGTTGCCGCCGTCACCACTATCGGCAAGTCCCGAGCGCTCCGGGTGAACGGCAAACTGGGGGAAAGACGCCGGCCTCTCGGGCGGAACTACCTCGGGAATGCGGGGAGGGGGGATGCTCCAGTGCCGAGCAAACAACCAACTGGTCTGATCTCAACGAGGAACTCCGGGTCGTAGAAATCTTGTTTCTGTGCGGTTTTTAGAAACCACAGCTCCGAAAGAACTTCTCCATTCTTGAATGCCCTGGAGCACACCCGACCTTTTCTGGTAGGCACCCCCGTTCCTTTGTGCTAATGGTAGAGCCGCGCCACAGTCCTCCCTCCGCTTCAGCGATTCAGGAAATGGTCCCGCCGCCGCGGGAGAGGGAGAGGCAGGGGCAGCCCCTGTCACAGGAAATGCGAGCGGCCCGAGCCGGCCCGCCCCTTTCGCGCGGGTGCTGCTCGCCGCCCTCCCCGGCGCCCTGAAGCAGCCTCAGAAGTGCGTTTCGTGCGCTGTTATAGATCTAGTTCAGTTTTTCCAACTTCATCGTTACCCTTCCTTGAGAAGAAGCGGCGGCCCTGAGTTGTCCGGGCAGCCGGGAGAGGGGAGGAGGACGGTCTGGACTCGGGAGTTCGTGCGGACCCGTGGAGCATCTGCCGAGATGAGCCAGAGGTGGAAGAACTTGGTGAACGCGGATTCGCTGATTTAAATGGCTCGGTTACGCCCCAAAAGTGCACCTCCGAGTCCACAGCTTCGCTCGCACGCCGAGCCGTGTCTAACAATTAAAAAGTAATGCTGACCCAAAATTGGGACACCAAGGCTGTGTCCGGTACTGGGGGGCAGTCAGCCAACACGGCTAGCAGAGAAGTGGGTCGATTTCATCTAATTTGGGATTAAGCTTTGAAAGCACGGTCGCTCTTCTCGTTTCCAGTGATATACTTAGTGGTTTGTCAAGTACGCCCAAGCGGCTAGGCTTCAAGTCAGTGTGAAGGGGAAAAAGTTTTCGAATGAGTGAAGAACACAAGCAAATGTGGGTAATGTGTTGCTGTGGATTTTTAAATTATTCTGTAAATCTAGACTAACATACAACAAAAAATAAAAGTTTATATAAAATGTTACCCGACGTTGAGACTCAAAATTCAATATTTATAAATAAAATAGAAAAATAAAAGAGACATTTTTAAATTTTGTTTCAAATAAATTGTTTTGCGTAAGTTCAGTTTCATTCATTCAGCAAATTTGGGTGTGTCGTCTTTGCCAGGCTTTATGCTAGGTACCGGTAGACACAACTGAAAGAGTTGGACAGGGAACCACTGCTCAATGATTTGTATTTGAATAAAGTTGACAGACCAAAAATGAAGTTAATATGCATATATGTGAAGCCCAAAGAAAGACTGGCAAACAAGAGAATGATGTAAGTTAAAGTGGGACATCTTTATAAAGAGAGCAGGGAGCACTAGGGATTGCACCCAAACACTCCATCACTGAACTACCTCCTTAGTCCTTTTATGTTTTTATTTTGAGACAGGGTTAGTTAATGAGGCTGGTCTTGAACTTGCCATCCTTCTGCCTCAGTCACCCTAGTCCTGGGATTACAGGTGTGCATCCCTGTGCCTGGCCTCCATTATATCTAAACTGAAACCTGAAAAAACTCAAGCCATTCCAAAAATAAAGGAAGGGAGTTTATACTGTCTCCCTTCGAATGGCAAATATTCTTCGGAATTCTAAGCCTTGAAGAAAACACTGTTATGTTTGTACTTTATGTATCAAACTGAATTGAAAAATAATCTATTGAATTCAGAATAGAAACTAATTCTTGCCTACCACCAGGCTGTGAGTCTAACATCTAGTATGTAAGGTCATGTTTTGTTTACACAAAAGTACCTTATTTAAGCCCAGAGTCCTGATGGCACATGCCTGTATTCCCATAAATGGGAGGCTGAGGCAGGAGGAATACAGCCTCAGTACATTGGCAAGGCCCTAAGCAATTTAGTGAAACTGCCTCAAAATCAAAAATAAAATGTCTGGGGTATGTAGCTCAATGGTAAATTGCTGAAGCTGGCTTTGAACCTGAGATCCTTCTGCCTCAACCCCCAGAGTCGCTAGAATTCCAGGCATGCTCCATCATGCCTGGCTGAAAAAACAAATCCTAAATACTCCAACTGCTCCAGTTACGTCCACTTGGCAGATAACATAGAAATCTTAAAAAGCAACAGGAACCAATGAGAACAGCTGTCTAACCAGTTAAAAAAAAAAAAAATCCCCCAGTGGAACTCCCATTCTAGGAAGACACCCAGGGATAGGTACCATCTTTTTTTAAATTACAAATTCCCAACAATGGGGAAGGGAAATCCATTAAGAACAGGTTATGGGTCCTCCTGAGGTATTTTACTCCTTCATAGTAGCAGCCTAGGGCACTCATAGCACCCCATGCAGAAATAACCACAGTGATTCTATGTGAAGGATATAGAAATGACAACCCCCAAAACAGTGTAGCCTGGGAAGAGAGAAGGAGGAAGAAAACAACATATTAATAACATTGATCCTTTCCCAAAACATCCTTTCCCAGTGAAAGGACAATCCCTGGGAGGGGAACAAAACTTAACCAGTAACAAGACCATCCCTAGGAAGGAGATGTCCATCAGGCCTAAAAATGACAATCTCTGGGAAGGAGCCAAAACATTGATCCTTCCCCATATAAATCCTTTCCCAGTGACAGTACAATTAGACCCTGGAGGGTAAGAGATAAGTACTAAATGCTGAACTCTGAGCCCTCCATTCTTACCCAGTAAAAACAAATTTCAAATTCTCGCAAATGCTTCCTGAATGCCCAAACTGATATATTCTGTTAAGGTCTTCATTGGTTGAGTCATCTCCCAGTGTGTAACCTATATAAACACAGACCTCTGCTGTAATTGGGGACCATTTTTGGTCCAGAAAGCTGTGCTCTGATGCCTGACTGATAGACTCTGCTGCTGAATAAAGGCTTTGCTGAATTTGTGAGGTCTGCATCTGACCAGGTTATTTTGTGCTTACATTATGTATGCCTTAAAAATACAATCATTTTCTCAAATTCATCTTTATGTTCTTCTCTCCCTCTCTGCCATTGACATAGACTTAACTCCCCTGAACCCAGAAACTTGTTGGGACCTGACTCCCCAAAATTGGTTTCACCAATTTCATGAAGACCTGTCAATCTGGACTTTCCAGTGACATTATGGAGATGATTTCCCTCAAAAGTGCATCAGTTCCTTTTCTAGATTGTGAATCTTCAGATTGGTAATTCTGCCATTTTCATTTCAGTTCCTGAATTTCAGGGTCAACTCATGAAAAGTTGTTAAAACAACATGCTAAATGTAAAATATCAAACCTCAGTCCAAACTTTTCCTATTCAGAACATTAAATGAAGACTTCACTGGGTTTTATGGTGGCTTCCTGATTTGGGCAGTCCATCTAAGAGGGAGTTTGAAAGTTCTGGTATACCATCAATCCATGTCCTACATGAAATACCATGATTGTTTATGAAGAGTATTTTTAATAAACCTGAGTACAGTTTGGCTTGGGAAAAAAATACTATAATTTTCTATGTGTCTCATTACATGAAATCTGTAGGAAGGCACTAGCCAAAAGGTTCAGCTGGAAATGGAAATGATCTCACTGAAAGAAGACACTTAAAAAGAACCTTGCCTCATTCTCAGGCTTTCTTGGTAAAACTCAGTCTTACCTGCAAAAGTTGAAAATTCAGACAGAAGGAAGATTGAAACCAAGGAGATGCCTCAGCCAGACATGTCTTAGGGAATGTAGTAAATCCTGTTTCACTTCACCATTAGTTTTGAGAGGAATCCCAAGGTAGATTGATAGAAGAGCTGGGAGGAAAAGGAAAATCAAGAGCCTCTGGCATTTAGTTAAGAAAGGAATGAAGAACGAATATGCAAAGTTAGCCTAAATCTGGGAAATGACTGTGGGGACTTAAAAAAAAAATAGCTCCCCAGTTAACCATCTCCCCAAACAAACAAACAAACAAAATCAGTCCCTTTATTCAGACTACTCTTGCAAAGGGACATCTGAAGGAGGAATTGAAGTCACATAATCAAGAGGTGGGAGATTTTTTTGAATAATACTAATAGAAGAATGTATAAAGAGACTCAGAATAAGTAATCTATATTAACAATTCATTCTTGTTTATTCACACTAATGAATGTATAGCAGACTGTTTTAACAAATTGAAAATAGAAATAGTACTTTACAGTACAGCTACAGAAAATTGCTTATTTGATTTTCAAATGTTTCAATTTTTAATTTGCTTTCTATGAAGTTGTTTGTATTCCTTAAATATATTTCAATGAACTGATGAAATGCTGCTGGATAATGTCCAATATTCAGTGAAACTGTAATCATGGGATTAAAAATCTTAATCCTCTCCCCAAATAAATCATGTATATGCAGATAATGGAGATAACTTTGTTTTAAAAAAGAATTTCTTTTAACACTTATTGTTTTATAATTAATAGAACATCTGTAATACCAAATTTGCAGATATTTTAAGCCCCTGTGCTGCCATAAATTCTTAGAATACACTGGGAAGGCATAGACCCAGTCTGTCTGCCCATAATTGGGCTCAGGGCACAATCCCTTAGGTAATATCTTTCAAAATATTTCTGCTCACAGTCTCTGTGGCATTTGATGAGTCAATATGAGTTGTGGCTTCCACAGATTTCAAGATTGCAAGGAGAGCAGCATATGCTATATATTTATATAATCATTGTTCTAGGCAGAACAAATCGCTTTTCACAATTCTCCATAAAAGACTTATTTTCAATACTACAGCAAATTTCATTCAACTTAGATTACAACATAGCCTATCTGGCACATTGTCACTTCTTATATTATCAAATATTAAATGAATTAAGAATGAATCAAATCAATTATATTTTGGGATTTTATGATATAAAAAAGAATTGCTTTTTGAAAAATACATAGTTTCATGGATAGTTTCACCCAACTTAACTCAATATGATAAATATACAGCAACATCCTCCATCAATGCTTATTTATTTAGCATTTATTATGTACTAGCCAGTATGCTGGTGATTGCCTTAACTTACATTGGATTTTTCAACACAGATTGTTTCAATTTTAACAGATAAACTATGTAAAAACACATCAGGTACTGTAAGTTACAAGAATTAGATTTGTACATGAAAATATAGTACGAGGGCTGGAGATATAACTCGGCAG